AATCTTTGATTTGATTACATTATATTAGTTATTTTTCATTATTACATAAAATTCCTTCTATTTATTATCCACACTTTATAAAAATTTTATAATAAAATAATTAATAATTTTATAAAGTAATTTATAATGAATCATTTATTTCAATTATGAAAATACTTAATTATAAATCCAAAAAAATTTTCTATAGAAACTAATCTATATATTAATTTACAACATTACAAAGATTTGTATATGATATGATTGAATTAAATTTAAGTTTGATTAAAAAAATATCTTAAATTACAATAAGATATACAGATTCTCACAAAAAGTTGATTTCAGAAGATAGCTTAAGTTTCGGTTTCTCTTGGTATTGTTTCAATTACATATTACGAGATCCTTTTATCCTTATGCTAAATATTTTACATTTTTTCATATTAATTCTTTTATATTGACGATTTCAATTAACCTCTAATTTTACATTCATTTTAATCTTTAACTTATTTCTAGAGCAATTGCTTTTCTTAAAGAATTTTTAATAATCAATTTATCATTCAATATCATTTAAGAAAAAACTATCTGTTAAAAGATTAGTAAATTATAAAAAAATATGTAAAAAAGTTAACTTTTTTAATTTTCCAATAAATACAATGCTTAATATGAAGAGTAGAATTATTAAATAAATGATAAAATTTGTATTTTGCTGGATAAGAATCATGTTGTTTGCTGTTCTTGTTCTATTATGCTACTTCCTTTTGATTTAAATAATGATTTTAAATCTAAGCCATAATAATTTATAAATTCTCCTTTGTATATTAAAGCTCCTTATGCATGTAAATATGGATTTTATGTGATATGAAGAATTGTTATATAAGTTTTAGCTAAATATCATTAAAATAAATACAATTATCATAAAAGGGATTTAAAAATGCAGTCGTTTGCTATGATAATAGAATTTCTTCATAACTGTTATTAGAGAGTTGAACTGCTTTTGGTGTACAAACATTCCATAAACGAATAGAGTTATCATAACTACCAGATGCTAATGTAGTACCATCATGAGAAATACATACAGAGGAGACTGGCTAAGTATGATCTTCTAATTTGGCCTTTTATTATCCTGTATTAACATCCCATAAACGAATAGAATTATCATTACTACTAGATACTAATGTAGTACCATCTGGAGTGAAACAAACTGATCTGACACAATCACTATGACCACCTAATTTGGCCTTTTATTATCCTGTATTAACAACCCATAAACGGATATAATTATCATAACCGCCAGATGCTAATGTAATACCATCAGGAGAGTAACTAACTGACACAACAGGTTCATCATGACCATCTAATTTGGCTATTTGTTCCCCAGTTGTCATATCCCATAAGCGTATAGAGTTATCATCACTGCCTGATGCTAAGGTAGTACCATCAGGAGAGAAACACACTGATAAGACAGGTTCATTATGACCATCCAATTTGGCTTTTTGCTATCCTGTTTAAACATCCCATAAACGGATAGATTGATCTGCACTACCAGATGCTAAAGTAAGGCCATCAGGAGAGTAACTAACTGACACAACAGGTTCATCATGACCATCTAATTTTGCTTTTTGTTCCCCTGTTGTAACGTTCCATAAGCATATAGAGTTATCACCACTACCTGATGCTAAGGTAGTACCATCAGGAGAGAAGCAAACTGAGTATACCAAACCATCATGACCATCGAACTTAGCTTTTTATTATCCTGTTTTAACATCCCACAAACATATAGAGTTATCATCACTACCAGAAGCTAAAGAAGTACAATCAGAAGAGAAACATATAGAGTTTACATCATCGCTATGACCATCTAATTTTGATTATTGTTATCCTATTTAAACATCCCATAAACGGATAGAGTAATCATAACTACCAGATGCTAATGTAATACCATCTGGAGAGAAGCATACTGAGTTGACCCAACCATAATGACCATCAAATTTGAATTTTTATTATCCTGTTTTAACATCCCATAAACATATGGAATTATCATCACTACCAGATGCTAATGTAGTACCATCAGGAGAGAAACATACTGATTTGACCCAATTATCATGACCATCCAGTTTGGCTTTTTATTATCCTGTTTTAGCATCCCATAAACGGATAGAGTTATCATTACTTCCAGATGCTAGTGTAGTACCATCTGGAGAGAAGCATACTGATTTGACCCAATTCTCATGACCATCAAACTTAATTGTTAATTATCCTGTTTTAACATCCCATAAACATATAGAATTATCATCACTGCCACATGCTAATGTTGTACCATCAGGGGAAAAAAATACTGAGTAGACCCAGCCAAGATGATTATCAAATTTGGCTTTTTTTAATCCTGTTTTAACATCCCATAAACATATGGAGTTGTCATCGCTACCAGATGCTAAAGTAGAACCATCAGGAGAGAAACATACTGAGTAAACACCTCCATCATGACCTACAAATTTGGCTTTTTTTAACTTTGTTTTAACATCCCATAAACATATAAAGTTATCATCGCTACCAGATGCTAATGTTGTGCCATCGGAAGAGAAACATACTGAGTAAACACTTCTATCATGACCTACTAATTAGGCATTTTTTAATCCTGTTTTAACATCCCATAAACATATAGAGTTATCATCACTACCAGATGCTAAAATAACGCCATCAGGGGAAAAAGATACTGAGTTTACAGATTTTTAATGACAAATTAATTAATTTAATTCATTTATTTTCAAATTCTTCCATTTACAATTAAATAGTTAAGCTTAGTTTAAGTTCAATCCACTTATAACTACATTATTAAATTCAGATCCACTCAAATTACACCTTTCAAAATTACCACCAATTAAAGATGTATTTTTGATCCTAATATTTTCAAAGTTTTAATTTCTTAGATTAGCTTACAGACCTACTAATAAATTTAGTCCATTCGATCCACATTAAATAAGTTTTTCATCAAAGGCTGTGATGTGAACTAAAAATTTTAAAAACTCAATAATCCTCTTATTTTCTGCTATCGAATTTATTAGATCTTATCTTGCCTCTTCATAAGTTACTGAAGAATAGTTGGCTTTACTAAATGGTTGATCAGAAATTTTTTTCAAAAAGTTTGTGATTTTCTTAATTTTCTTTTGAGCATCGTTTACATTCTCATGCTAAATGATAAATGATTCATAAAGCTTTTAATTGTATGTCTTTGTAAGAAATCCTAGGAGATCTGTAATTTTCTCTTTTTTCAGTATTTCAATAAGCACCTTATATATTGATTCATCAATATCTTAACATTAGGCTAATATTTCATATAGGGTTTCTTTCATTTCGTTCACTTCATTATTTTCTTAATTAAGTTGAATGCTAGAATAAGATTTAAACTCTTACTTAACTAATAACTTTATCTTTTTCATCTCTTTACTCGAATTTTCCATAAAAGTTTTAATTTCTTATTCGCAATTATTCTTGGTCTCTTCCAACTTTAATATATAAGAATTTTTATAATCGTTCCAATCATTTAATATTGTTCCTTCTACCATTTAGACTAATTTTTCTAAATCAGTATAATAGGATTCAGCTGGATTGGTATTTTGGTTGATAAGAGAAAGGAATGATATATTTTCCTATTCAATCAAATCATATATTAATTTGATTGATTCTGATAATTCTTCCAAAATGTTATTCACATTACTTTGGATTTGAGAAAGCATATTTTTAAAAGATAATCTGTAATTTTTTAATTCAGATGACTCATCAAGCTTGTATTCTTTTATTTTCTTGATAACCATTTCTTCAAAAATTTTTATCGGAACTGTATATTTCTAATCCACCTTATGCTCATATTAGCATTCAACACACAGTTTCCTTTAACATTAACATTTGTGAGGGGCAATACATATCAAAGTAATGGGATTTTTTGTATGAAGGTCGCAATTCATTTTCTATTATAAATAATATTGAATTTCTATTACTTTTAATTTTTATATGATAATATGAATCAAAAAATATTTTATATTTTCATAAATTAGAATACCAGACTTTATAAATATTAGAAGTTGAGCAAAGTTGAATGATAATCTGTATTCAAGAAATCAAATCAAAACTTGCATAACTTACTTCTTTCATAATATAGAATGAAAAAAATTTTATTAATAGTTTTAATTATATACAATTACATAATTAGATTTATATACAATATTTTTACCATTTAT